GATTCCCTGTTTAATAAATGGTGTTGGGAAAACTGGCTAGCCATGTGCAGAAAGCAGAAACTGGACCCCTTCCTGACACCTTACACTAAAATTAATTCCAGATGGATTAAAGACTTAAACATAAGACCTAACACCATAAAAATCTTAGAAGAAAACCTAGGCAAAACCATTCAGGATACAGGCATAGGCAAGGGCTTCATGACTAAAACACCAAAAGCATTGGCAACAAAAGCCAAAATAGACTAATGGGACCTAATTAAACTCCAGAGCTTTTGCACAGCAAAAGAAACAGTCATTAGAGTGAACTGGCAACCAACAGAATGGGAAAAAAATTTTTGCAATCTACCCATCTGATAAAGGGCTAATATCCAAAATCTACAAAGTACTAAAACAGATTTACAAGGAGAAAACAAACAAACCTATTCAAAAGTGGGCAAAGGATATGAACAGACACTTTACAAAGGAAGACATATATGAGGCCAACAAACTTATGAAAAAATGCTCATCATCACTGGTCATTAGAGAAATGCAAATCAAAACTGCATTGAGAAACCATCGCAGGCCAGTTAGAATGGCGATCATTAAAAAATCTGGAGACAACGGATGCTGGAGAGGATGTGGAGACATAGGAACACTTTTACACTGTTGGTGGGAGTGTAAATTAGTTCAACCATTGTGGAAGGCAGTGTGGCGATTCCTCAAGGACCTGGAAATAGAAATTCCATTTGACCCAGCAATCCCATTATTGGGTATATATCCAAAGGATTATAAATCGTTCTGTTTGAAGGACACATGCACACGAATGTTCATTGCGACACTGTTTATTATAGCAAAGACTTGGAACCAACCCAAATGCCCACCAATGATAGACTGGACCGGGAAAATGTGGCAGATATATACCATGGAATACTATGCAGCCATAAAAAACGATGAGTTCATGTCCTTTGTAGGGATATGAGTCTGGAAACCATCATTCTCGGCAAGCTGACACAAGAACAGAAAATCAAACACCGCATGTTCTCACTCATAGGAGGGTGTTGAACAGTGAGAACACATGGACACAGGGAAGGCAGCATCACACACTGAGGTCTGTGGTGGGGAACTAGGGGAGGGACAGAGAAGGGTGGGGAGTTGAGGAGGGATAACATGGGAACAAATGCCAGTTATAGGTGATGGGGCATTTGTATAGGTGAAGGCAGCAAACCACATTGCGATGTGTGTACCTGTGCAACAGTCTTCCATGTTCTTCACATGTACCCCAAAACCTAAAATGCAACAAAATACATATTACAAAAATAAAATTAAAAAAAACTGTAAATTATTATGTCCAAATAGAAAACTGAAATGGTTATGTGTGCAGTTAAAATTTTAAAAACCGTGTATTGAATGAAGAAACATTTGAACCCCTTCAAAAGGCATTGAGTACTTTTCTAGGCACTGTGTAAGCACAGTGGGAATTAAATAATACTTGGCTCATGCCCTGATAGTACCGTCTTTGTCGGAAGGATGGTCAGGCAAGTACATTTCCCAGGATATGACATCAATGATTGTTATCAGAAGAATATACAGATTGTTAAGTCAATATACACATCATAAAGTCAAATGTAATAGTAAGTTTCTGGGTTTTTTGACATGGTTTGCAAATATTTTGCTTACTTGAGGGCCTTGTTAGCGTATGAATTAGAGAGTAGTATCTGTTATAAATCACATCTATGGTTCCTGAGTTCAGACAGTAGTATTTCTGATGGTAAATTAGAAAAGCGACCAATTCATCCTGAAATTTATTCAAATCTATTTGGATTGTAAGAGTTCACCCCTTAAACCTAAAATAATATGTTTGCATCTTTGTTGATATTTTTAAAACATTGCAGTATATATAGTGCTTCTGGATCATCATTAGTGGAATGAAAGAAATGATCTCTCTAGTCTCTTTCCCTTGAGTAATTTCTTGAATCTATTATTTTATTTTTAGATATTCAGTTACTAGTTAATAAAAAATTTAGATACTTTTTATTGAAGTGAAACTTACACAACATAAAATCAATCATTTTAAAGTGTTAGTAGCATTTAGCATGTTCACAAAGTTGTATAACCACCACTTCTTCCTAGTTCCAAAACATTATTATTTTTTTTTACTTTAGTATTTTCTCAATGAAAGAAGTCAGTTTTGGTCTTGGCCTAATTTTTGGTTTATATTTAGCCCTTTAACGTGCTGCATTATAATGCTTGATGCAATGTAAAATTAGTAAAACATTAAAATAAAAAAATTTTAAACTGTATCCAGTACTGGTAAGAATCTCTTGATTTTCTTAAAATTGTGTTTGTTTTTTGGTCATGTTTTATGTTCCTTAGCTCCCATTTTTTTCTCTATCTTGGGAATAACTCATTTTTAAAAATAAATTTAGTTTTACTATATCAGTGATATACAGTATAACTTTAGATTGTTAACTAGGGCGTGGAGATGCTTATTCAAAATCCCTGGCTTTGGGATTTAGGAGATATAGGCATTGTCTCCAGTTCTGATGATAGTGAGATTTTCATGGGGATAGTGTTGAATCTGTACATCAGTAGGGAGAGAATTGCCAGTTTTGAAGTCTATGAACATGGTAGATCTATTTATTTAGGTCTTTGATTTATATCACTATTCACTACTTTGAATGAGACTGTTTTTAAATGTTTCCAGTTCATTGTTCATTGCTAATTTGTAGAAATGCAATAGATTTTTATATTCTGATTTATAGCCTACAACCTTCCTAAACATACTTATTTGTTCTGGTCGCTTCTTTGTAGATTCCTTCTTAATTTCTATGTAGAGAACCATGTCATATTTGAATAGAGAGAATTTTCTTTCTTTCTTTCTAATCTGTATCTCTTTTACTTTTTTATCTTGTCCTATTTGTACAGTCTAGCAGTTGATAACAATTAATAAATAACAACAGACTATCCAATTTCTTTCTGTATTAACTGTGGGAGCAAGTATTTAAATAGAGGTCAGTTTTCAAATAAATTGAATCTTCACTTTGCCTGGTATTGTGTTAACTGAAATATGCCTATATCAGAAGCGTGTTCATGCTTTCCTTGGAACTGAAGCTTTGCAAAACCAGGACGTGGTTCTGATATGTATGAGCTTCAGTTAACAGGGTGCTTTGCAAGGTGAGGACTGAATTATTTTCTTAGCAATACAGATAGGCTAAATCTAGATCTTTCCTGAATAATTTTCCCTTTGAACAGTCACCAGTTTTTTTAATTGGGGAAATGTAGGTTTTTGTTTGTTTTGCTTTTAAAATTACCAGGCAAAATGGTGAAGTAGTAATAAGATGGAAACTGTGGACAAAAATGAAATTTTTAGGATTTTCTGTGGGTTTACTTGGCATGTAGTATTTATTGGTTGTTTTTATTGATTGTGGTTAATATATGTCTTTGTTTCCTACTTAGATCAATTAATAATTGGCTATGAATATTTTTAAACTGCCAACCTGGGAATCTTGTCAAAGTGAAAATCCTGGTTCAGTAGGCCTGGGGGTTGGGCCTGGAATTCTACATTTTTCACAGATTCCCAAGTGATACCAACATGGACATTTTAAAAGTCACACTTTGAGTAGGAAAGGCTTGACACACCCATTATGTTGTATCTTCCATTGCACCAAAATCCTGTCTGTTACTGTTCCTGTGGTCTCATTGCTTGGTAGCTTCTTTTAATTTAAAAACTCTTGTGCTTACTGGAAGGATTGCTATGTTAAAAGACCTTTACTTCAAAAGCAAGAAACATCTCCGTGTTTAGATTTCACAAAAGAACCTAAAATGACTACAGGGAAAACTTTTGGCAAATGAGAATGCCAGGTCAGGTAATCATAAAGCCTGCTGGGTACCTTTTCTCTACTATCCACTCTGAGGAGAGAGTGAGTCCAAAAAGCTGACTGTGAGAAGAGGACTCACTGGTGGTTTATCACCTCTTTGAGGCTCATGCAATACCTGTGACTCAACTAGTTGCTAACTAATAAATATTGATGTGTTGGTTTCTGGCAATATAAGTGAACTATCGAATTACTATGGTTGTTCCTAGCTGTGCAGGCTTGGGCCTGGAGACACTGGGCGCATGGTCCAATAAATTATTATTATTATTTAAAAAGGAAAAAAAAAAATAATTGGCTATGAATGTTTTCTCTGATGTATATAGTATAATAATGCCATATCATATTTTGTTTCCTGAACTTATATACTTTTATTAAGTTATTAAACTTAACTGAAAGAGCCTTACTTGATATTTTCAGTACATTTTTGTTGTTATTTATTTTAGATAATGTGCAAAATGGCTCCCATGGTTGGGAAGGATATTACAGAGCGTCTTATCCTTCCTAGGTTTTGTGAGATGTGCTGTGATTGCAGAATGTTTCACGTTCGAAAGGTATTTTTTGTCAAATTTTTTTTCTTCTAAGAACATAGTTTTACTTGTTAATATACTGATATATGACATTTAAAAGATTATTTTAAAAGAACCTTATGTGTAATATTTTGAAATGTCAATGATGCTTTTGTTGTCAGGTCTGTGCTGCCAATTTTGGAGATATTTGCAGTGTAGTTGGCCAGCAAGCTACTGAAGAAATGTTGGTAAGTATTGCAGATATAAAGGAGTAAATGTTATTACCAGAAATGTAATAACGTTGAATTTAGGAGTTTAAATATCTGTAATCTGGGCATTTGAATTGTGTTTTTGATATTTATTAAAAATACAGATATGTGACAGGATCATTGGTCTGTTTTTACCTCTTCCATTTCTGTTAAGCAAATCAATTCTTACTTATTCAATTGAATCTTTAATTTTATTGCAACCCTCTAGACTTTTGATGACATGCTAAATCTATGGCAAGTTAGTTTTAAATAGTACACAAGATGCATGTACTTGATAAGTCAGCTTAAAGTATAAAGTTTTTAAGTATAAAACTCTTTTATACTTAAAGTGTTTCTGAAGCCACCTCTTATGCAGAATAAGTTCAGGGGCAAGCTCTTGTATAACATTTAAGCGATGATTGTTGGGAGTGCTTTTTCATAGCCAGTTGAGTTATAAATTAGATGTGATTTATTGAAAATTGTTGAGTATTAATACTAATAGACCTTCTACTTTTTAAGACAATCCAATATTTAAAACACTATGAGGCCAGGCTTGGTGCTCAACATCTGTAATCCTAGCCCTTTGGGAGGCCAAGGCAGGTCAGGAGTTTGAGACCAGCGCGGACAACATGGTGAAACCTCGTGTCTACTAAAAATACAAATTTAGCCAGGCGTGGTGGCACATGCCTGTAATCCCAGCTACTCGAGAGACTGAGGCAGAAGAATTGCTTGAACCCAAGACGCGGAGGTTGCAGTGAGCCGAGATTGTACCACTTCACCCCAGCCTGGGCAAAAGATCGAGACTTCGTCTCAAAAAGAAAAAGCTATGAAAGCAGAAAATGAAAAGAGAAGTAACTAATGAAATCTGCTGTCTTTGTCCAGCTAACAAAACTCTTTCTTTTTCACATAGCTGCCCAGATTTTTCCAGCTGTGTTCTGATAATGTTTGGGGAGTCCGGAAGGCTTGTGCGGAATGCTTCATGGCAGTTTCGTGTGCAACATGTCAAGAAATCCGACGTACCAAATTATCAGCACTTTTTATTAATTTGATCAGTGATCCTTCACGTTGGGTAGGGTTTTAATTATCACTTTTATAAAATAATACATTTGGGTTTGTTTTAAAGCAAACATAATTTTGACTTCATAAGAAATAACATAATTTAAGATATTTTTTATACTTTCAGGAGTAAACAGTAGAAAGACTAATACATTAACAGTTAGTGTGTTTTTTTGTAACAGGACAAAAATATCTGTACAAATATGAGTCCTGTTGATTTTTATTTAATTGGCATGATGTATTATGTTAATTGATTTTTAGATGTTAAACCAATTGCATCTTTGGAATAAGTCCCACTATCTCATAGTGTATAGTTCTTTTTATATGTCGTTGGATTCAGTTTGTCAGTATTTTGTTGAGGGTTTTTGTGTCCATACCATGAGAGATATTGGTCTGTAGCTTTCTTATGATGGCTTTGTCTGGTTTTGTTGTCAGAGTAATAATGGCCTCAGAAAATGAGTTGGGAAATGTTCCCTCCTCTTCTGTTTTTGGGGAGAGTTTTTGAAGAATTGGTACTGATTATCCCTTAAATGTTTGGTAGAGTTCAGTGGCAAAGCCCTCTGGCCCTGGGCTTTTCTTTGTAGATAGATTTAACATTCCTAATCCAATCTCTTCACTAGTTATAGGTCTATTCATATTGTGTTTTTTTCTTGAGTCAGTTTTTATAGTTTGTATCTTTCTAGGAATTTGCACATTTCATCTAAGTTATTTAATTTGTTGGTATATGATTATACATAGGATTCCTTTATAATCTTTTAATTTCCATAATGTCATTAGTAATGCCTCTTCTTTCATTTCCGATTTGAGTAATTTGAGTCTTGTCTGTTTTCTGGCCAGTCTGCTAAAGGTTTGTCAGTTTTGTTGATCTTTTAGAGAACCAACTTTTGGTTTCATTGGTTTTCTCCATTTTTCTGTTATCTATTTCATTAATTCCCATTTTAATCTTTATTCTCCCTTGTGCTTGCTTTTAGTTTATTTTCCTGCTTTTTCCAGTGTCTTTAGGCAGAAGGTTAGGTTATGGATTAGAGGTCTTCTTTCTTTGAATTATCATCTGGGGTAAATGGCTTTCAACCTGAAGAATTTAATTTAGTATTTCTTGTTAATGTAGGTCTGCTAACAACAAATTCTTAGTTTTCCTTTATCTGTGGATGTCTTTATTTCACCTTCAATTTTGAAAGACAGCTTTGCTTAATGTGAGAGTGAGTGTGTTATGCCACTGCCTCTGACCTCTTTTGTTTCTGCTGAGAGGTCAACTGTTGTCAGTTAGGTTTCCCTTGTAGGTGATATGTCATCTTTCTCTTGTTGCTTTCTAGATTTTTCTCCTTGCCTTTGACTTTCAGAATTTTTACTGTGATGTGTCCATTTGTACAGCTCTTTTAGTTTATACTACTTGAAGTTGAGTTAATTGAACTTCCTAGTTATGTAAGTTACGTTTTTTCAATAAATTTGGAGTTTTGAGCCAACATTTCTTCAAATAATTTTTCTTCTCTTTTCTCTCTTCTCTCCCTCTAATATCCCCATTTTTTATATATATATATATATAAAATATATAAAACATTATATATAATATGCATATTATATATTATATATAATACATATTACATATATTATATATAAAAATATATATAATATATAGTACATATTATATATAAATATTTTTTGTATATATATATTATACATATGTTAATGTGCTTAAAGATGGCCCACATTTCTCTGAGGCCCTTTTCATTTTTCCTCATTTTTTTCCCCTCTGTTCTTTGGCTTGCATAGTCTCTTGATCTGTTTTCAATAGATCAGTCCTGTGTTCTGCCAGTTCAGATCTACTGTTGAGCTCACGTAGTGACCTTATTTTAGTCATTGTACTTTTCAACTCTAAAATTTTCATCTGGTTCTTTTTCATAATTTCTCTTTATTGATGTTATGCTCTAGTTGATGCAGCACTGTCCCCATACCTCCTATTACTTCTGTAATATCATTTCGTTTGGTTCTGCAAACATGTTTATAATAGCTACTTTTAAGCCTTTTTTTAAAGTCTGAAATCTGATTGCTCTCATAAGCAGTTTCTGTTGCCTGTTTCTTTTTTTCCCCTAATGTATGGATTTTTTTTTTTTTGCATACCTTGTAATGTTTTGTTGAGAGTTGAACATTTTAGATAATATATGTAGTAACTTTGATACTAGTTGTCCTCCCTCCTCCATGGGGCTTGTGACTGTTATTTGCCAGTTTAGTGACTGGCTGGAATACTTGAGTGAAGGCTGTTTCCCCACTCTAGGAGGTACAGCTTTGGATCTGCCAACAGTCACCCTGGGATGACAGGGCTTTGGTGGGGATGGAAGGGCAGCAGTAAGGTTCCCTTGGCTTCTTTCTCCTGGTGAGGAATCATCGCCCTGTGAGCTAGAGCAGTGGGCTAGTGGGGCCCCAGTCTTTTTAGTATGCCACACCCAAAGGAGGGTAGAAGAAAGGAGCCTCACCCCTCAGCTGCTCTCGCTCAGGACTGGGAGTCAGCATCAGGTAGCTGGAGCAATGCAGAGCCTGTTGCCCGGGAGCTACAGGAGAGCTGACCCCAGTGTGCTTGGCTGCAGCACACTGCAATCTCTATCTCACCTTGCTGGAGGCAGGATAAGCAGGGAAGGATCTTGGTTCAAATACCATAGACTCTCAGCTTTTTTACAGTGTATACTACATTTTGTCGATTTTCTTGAATCAATATCCATGCATTTGCTGCTTGCTCCTAGGGCCGTTTCCAGGGGCTCTGAATGATTGTTTTATAATTTTCACTTATATCCCCGGGAATTAGGTCAGCCGAGCTCCTCACACTGTCACGGCGGATACCAATTTCAGGACCTTCGCATATTCATTCCCTAAACAAAATTGACATAGAAGACATGACTCTTAAGCCTTAGTATTATATTAATGTTTGTGTTATATCCTGTATCAGATTGTTAGAAACACACACACACACGTAAATCCTATGCCTATTTAGGTGAAAAAGGAGAGAAAATAGTCTTTTGTCCAAACAATGTTAAACCATTTGGGGAAGATTATAATCTGCTCTATTGCCCCTTCTCAAAAGTTAAAATTGAATTAAAAGTAAATTTTATTTCAGAAATTCTTTAATATTTATTCTTTGAGTGACTTACAGATTTCTTTTAGTGGTTTCCAGAACGTTTGTTTAAAATCATTAGTTGTTTATTTCTTAAAGTCATTGAAACTAGTAAAAATAATAGCTTAAAATCACTTTATTTTGAGGAATAGCTTAAAGTAGAAATATTTTTATGGTGTTGGAAAATTACTCAGTTTACACACAGTGGGATGTGTTGTAGAGTTCAGATTGAACTTTAGTCCTGATTTCATTGTAACTACAGGGTGACATTGAGGAAGTAATTTTATTTGGATTTAAGTTTCTATTTTTGTGAAATCAAGGAGGTAGATTAATAGTAGGATTTAACTAACTCTTATTAGAGACTCTTGGTGTCTCTCCTCCACATTAAACTTTTTTTATTCTAATCTAACAACAAGGTAAACTAATAATTTAGATAAACTAAGTTTTCTGTATCCTTTATTGGGAACAAACTCAGAGATTTAACAATATTCAGAGAAGAATAAATTCATGCATACGGTGTTAAAAGTGACCTTTTATCCTTTTATGGAAGTAATGTTTGGTGACTTATGAAGAGGAGAAAAACCCTTAGTTCACACACATACAGGCTATTCTTTTCCCTCTTAGGCATATAATTCTAGCCTTTTTAAAAAAACAGTTGAGTCATTTTTTATATATGCTTCTCTAAGTAGGTGAATTCTAATGATATGCTTTACATTTATTTGCCTATGTAAAAGTCATGCTTACTGTATAATTCTTATCTTAAACTTGCAAAAGATATTATTAGGCATTTTTTTTTGAAACTCGATGTTTATTTTCCATGAATCTTATATGTTGTTTAAGAGCCCACACAAGAACAGCTTAAGACCATTCAGTGGTTGCTCCTACCCATTCAGTGGCCTGAGCAGTGGGGGCTGCAGACCAGTCTTCCGTGGCAGGCTGGGCGCTCCAGTCTTCAGTAGGGAACTGCTGGATGGGCACAGAGGGCACCTGCACGCCTTCAGACCAGTCGGCAACCTCAGGCTGAGTGGCGGTGAACTCAGGGGCCGGAGCAGTCCATTCACCCTGAAACTCCTCCTTGGTCACAGCCTTTTCAGCAGCAGCCTGCTCTTCTTTTTCAATCTCTTCAGGATCTCTGTAGAAGTAGAGATCAGGCATGACCTCCCACGGGTGTTCACGGGAAATGGTGCCACGCATGCGCAAAACTTCCCAAGCCAGCATCCACCACATCAAACCCACTGAGTGAGCTCCCTTTTTAGAATCTTATAGTAGAACCCATCAAGTTGGTGTGAAAACAGAAAGGCCAAGTGCCTGAGAGGCCTGAGCAAGAAACATGGACAAAGGCAGAAGAAAACACACTGTTTTCCAAATGTTTTCATCTCTCCACAAAGCTGTCATGCGGTAATGTTATACTGTAGCAAGAATTACTATCAAACTCCACTCATCGGGCCAGAGACCCTCATGGTGTTAGCGAAAAACTTGCCCCTCGTGTAGCACACTACCTACACTTGCGAGTTCATCGGCCAGTCAGTAGCCTCAACTCCAAGCTCTAACAATGTGCACAGGCATTTTTTTTTTTTTAAGAAAAGGAATGCTAGCCAGGCACAGTAACTCACACCTATAATCCTGACACTTTGGGAGGCAGAGGTGGGAGGATCACTTGAGGGTAGGAGTTCAAGACCAGTCTGGGCAACATAGCAAGGCCCTGTCTCTACAAAAAAAAAAAAAAAAAAAGAAAGAAAAATTAGCTGGATGTGGTGGCACATGCCTATAGTCCACAACTATTCATGAGGCTGAGGTTGGAGGATCATTTAAGCTCAGGATTTCAAGGCTGCAGTGAGCCATGGTAGCACCACTGCTCTCCAGCCTCCGCAACAGAACGAGACCTGTCTCGAAAAGAAAAGGAAAGCTAAACTTCAGAGAAACTGATTTGTGGCAAAGTCAGGGTTTTAGTAACATATCAGTTTTCCCATTGTGGTTGCCTTTGTCTGATTGTATCCATTCATCCTTCCTTCCATAAATCCTCTCATTTTCAAATGTTTTAAAAATTCCTGATTTCAAAAATAATACAGAAATATGACATGAAGTGAAATTCTGTAACTTTATCATTTTTCCTACATGAGATGAGAACAGTAATACATGCTTCAAGATCTTCGTGACACATATTTTAAGCTAATAGTATATTTTTGGTACATCTGTCTTGCCTCATTGTAGTGAACAAATTATAGTCTTTCCCACCTGAAAACATTAAATGTATTTATCACATTTTGTTGACTTTATTAATTTTTATGTTCTTTATGGCATTGTTGGTTTTTCTTATTCTTTTTGTTCTTGAGAATACAGCAGGACTTTCTTTAGTTTTGTTCTATGCAAACGTTATAGTATCTCATACTTAGATTATCATGGTTCAAACATTCAAGGGAGGATAAAAACAATTGAAATTTTTAAAAAAAGCAAATAGGGGATTGTTTTTTCTGTGTGTGTTGTTTTGTTCTTTTTTTTTTTTTTTTTTAAGACAGTCTTGCCCAGTCGCCCAGGCTGGAGTACAGTGGCGTGATCACAGCTTCATATGATTCCTCCACCTCAGACCCTGCTGAGTAGCTGGGACTTCCGTATTTTTTGTAGAGACTGGGTTTCACCATGTTGTCCAGGCTGGTCTCAAACTTCTGGACCCACGTGATCCACCCGCCTTGGCCTCCCAGAATGCTGGGATTACAGGCGTGAGCCACTGGGCCTAGCCAGAGAAAATAGCTTATAAGAATTTTTCAGTCCTGGCTGAGGTTCTGAATCTCGGCTTCCTTTAGAAAAGCTTTATTATGCTAAACATACTTTGGCATTTGAAAGTAGATTCTTAAATATCTATAATGTGTGTGTGTGTTTATACAATTCTTTTTAAAAATGATTCCTTTATTATTGTCCTTTTTATCTTCTAGGTTCGCCAAGCAGCTTTTCAATCTCTGGGACCATTCATATCTACTTTTGCTAATCCGTCTAGCTCAGGCCAGTATTTTAAAGAAGAAAGCAAAAGTTCAGAAGAGATGTCAGTAGAAGACAAAAATAGGTATTATTTTAAAATTGTTTTCTAATTTCAAAACTTTGTTTTCTGATTTTACTGCCTTTAAACATTATTTCCACCATTCCACAACAGGTGTTATTTTTGGATAGTTTGCTATTTCTCTTGAATATAAAAATTGGTAAATATTTTTATAGAGCTTTATTTTAAATGCATTTGTTTGTTATGCATCTCTTTCATTGGTTACATATCAAATGAGCAGGCGCATTTAACACAATTAGCTAGATGCCTGGCACATAGGAAGTGCTAAATAATAGATTATGATTTTTTTTTTAATGTTTAATACATTATTTACCTAGTCATTCAGTAATATCTAGAATATACAGGATAATTGTTATACACTGTGTAGTATTTTTTAAATCTGTTTTTAAGGAGTAAAACTTAATTTAGGAATATGTTTTATTTTCCTTTTCTGTCAAATAATTGTGCATCTTGGATTCTTTGTCAATGGTGTTTGTAATCTGTGAATTAAAGGAGAAAGTATAGGAATGATTAACACCAATTTAGTATATTTATTAGCCTGTATATCAGTTTTAAGTATATCAGTCTCATAGTGAAACCAAAGTTTTAAATAAAGCTTAAAGAGTCAACTCTGATTTTTATTTTTAAATGTTTTTGCATTGAAAATTTTCTATTAAATTTTAATTTTTAGAATTTATTATAACATATGCTTAGGGAAAAAACCAATTCAAGTGTAACTTATTAGTATGCAGAAAATGTACACAAAGTTTTACAGTTATGCACTTGAAGTAATTTTAATACAAGTTTTTGAAACAGTCCCTGCTGTAATGCTTGAGTTACCATAGTGTCTTGTCCCTCCCTTGTCATGATGCTAATGGACATTTTCTTCTGTAGGTCTTGATACTGTGCTATTTCCTTTCTTGGTGTTTTGATTTGGCAGTTCTTCTTTCTTCTCTGCTGCCTTGTTTTACCTTTTTGCCTGTTCTCCTACTGTCCTGCTGAATAGCCAAACAAACCTGAGGTACTGTTTTTTGTAAAGGAAGAAAATCACTCAAACCTATCTTCCTAGCAAGCAAAGTCTGTCAGTGTTTTTGAAAACAGGTGCTGCAAGGAGTTTGACAAAAATGATGATGGAAGGATGGGGAATGTTACCTATTTTTCATTTTGAAATCGGCATACTTAAAATTACTAAAGTATACTGAAGACTTTTACATAACTTTTGTTTTAAAATAATGGGTCTAGTAAGTAAAATAATTTGCAGAGAATTATGTAGTATGAGTTGGTAAACTTTCTCTGACAGGCCACGTAGTAATTATTTTTCTTCTCTGTCACAACTGCTCGCTACTCACTCGGCCTTTGCAGTGTATAAACAGCCATAGACATTATATAAATGGACGAGTTTCCAGTAAAACTTCACTGACGTAAATAGTGTGGCTATCAAGGCCATGTTTGCTGCCTACCAGTGTGTAGTATTATTGCAGGAGCTATTTAAAGGGAGTTTAATTTCTTCATTTTTCTTCCATTGTAATGAGGTATGTCTTAATGTCCAGGCAATACTACTTGTATTGCTGATCTTCAGTACATTATTAGAGTTTATTAAATTATGTTAATGATACGGTAAGGGGAAGAAAGCGTTCCTGGTTAAGGAAGGAGTTGTGCTAAATATTGTAAAAACTTTTGCACAGTTTGACATCCTATCTTTACAAAGAAGTAGTCTTATGTATTATTAAATCTCAGAATTGTTAGTTTTGGCACACTGGCATTTGTTTTAAGCTGTCTTAAACTGTTGTGGTATTATTTAAGATTGATTGATTGGTTGATTGATTGATCATGTAAAAGGTAACTGAGCACGTACTATGAACCAGAAACTGTAAATGGAAAGATAGAACTTAGTTCCTGTTCTCAAACTTCTCTCAGTTTCCCACATTCAGGTTTTTCAAACAAATGTCTTACAAAGTAAGCAAGTTTTTGGCAACATATTTCCACTACTGTTTGTTTATTGTATAGTGTTTCATCTGACCCTGGAAACATTTGCTATCACTTTAATATTCTTTGAAGCATTTATTGATTCCAAACATCTTACTTATACATCAGATCTTTCACTCACACTGGATGAGGCTATTAATGCTTCTTTAAAAGTGCTGATAAAGGCTACTTCTGGAAGCAGAGTTGAAATACTCAAATCTGCATTTTAAAAGTATGTAAAATAGGCATTCACTATTACGTTGTTCTCTGAATGCACCGTGTTGTAACTCGCCCTGTTTTTGTACTTGCTGCTCTCTGGGAAGCTTCTTGCTACATCCATACCCTTGTTTAACCCAGTGGATGTCAACAGGTTCTGTTTTAGACTCACTGACTTGTCCAGGAAGTACAGAGCTTTTGTCTATATCTGTCAGTAGCACTGTGATGAGAGCACTATTTTAATCCTATCTTTTTGGCTTCATATTGGCATCTATCATCTGGGTAGCCTCCCAGCTATGCAGTGTGGCATCCAACTCTCCTCCCTTTGTTTCCACTGGGCCTGGTCCGTTGATGCCCATATTAAGCCTGAATGAATTATTCTAGGGAAATATGGATTTGACCTCAAAAATCTGAAGTAACTAAACCACTTTTGCTGCTTTTATCAGTTTAGCTTAATGCTAACTGCATGAAAATAAAATTATTAGCACAAATTTGGAAATATTTCATGAATGCCAAAACGTCATTGCACCTTCTAAGTTCACAGTACTTAGAAGGTGTGTCCTGAAGTGTGTTTGCTTTCATCTCAGGATAATAGTGCCTCTTCAGCCTGATGTTCTAGAAGTCATTTTCTCCTTGAAATACCTGTAATTAATTTTCTAGGCCCATAGTCTCTAGTAAGGAACTCTTAGGATATTAATTGTAAACTTATATATGCACAAAAAGAAACTTAAGATTCCTCATTGATGTAGGTAGTTTCTGGACTCTCCTCTGGTGCTTTTACCTCTTAGGAAATGGGTTAATTCTCATTATACAGAGTCATAAGGGGCCTCAATTTTCAAAACAGTGTTTGTCTTGTACAATAGCATTTCAAAGTCTGACAATTAAGAATATCAGAATTTTGGCATTGAACAGCTTGATTTTGCATTGACTTATACATTACCAAGAAAAATTAGAATTGAGAATTTATACTTCTGACATTTTTGAAGCTATAGTACTATCCAGAATTTAATATAGTACTAGGGAAAACTTTGTCTCGTAGTTTTCTCTTAAAAATCATTCTAAGAGTTTTAAGTTTGGACAAACTAATACATTTACATTTATCAGACAAACAATTATTTGACCAGTCATTCTCCTTTTGTTTTTGCAGCTGAGAATATTAAAATTTAATTTTAACACCAAGGTGAGATAGTGATCAAGGAACTTTAAGTCCCTGTAATTCCAGTATTTTGGGAAGCTGAAGCAGGAGGATCACTTTAGCCCAGGAGTTTGAGGCTGCAGTGAGCCATGATCATACCACTTTACTCCAGCCTGGGCTATAGAGCGAGACCCTGTCTCTTAAAAAAAGAATGAGCAAGAAAAATGAGAGTTCATTATATTTGTCAGATAGTACATATGAGGTCTTAACAAGTTTTACCCATTTGCTCCTCTCTTCCCCCTTTTGGAACAATATCTTATTATAATTTTAAAATTTTAGTTTGAATTATTTCAGAAATGTTGCAAGAATATCACAAGGAATTTCATATATCCATCTAGATTTTCCAAATACTATTTTACCATATTTGCTTTATTCTTTTTTTCTGAACTCTTTGAGAATAAGTTTTAGACATGATATTCTTTTTACCTTTTTAAAATACTTCACCATGTATTTCTTTAAAAAACAGATGTTAATATATAACTGTAGTCCAGTTACCAAAATTAGGAAATTAATGTTGATACAATACTGTTAGCTACTCTATAGCCTTTATTGAATTTTACTGGTTAGCCCACTAATGTTCTTTATAACAAAAGGGAAAATTATCTTTTTTAATATGGACAAAATGGGAAATATATAATTCATAAACATATAGAAGACACATTTATTTTGCATAACAACACTAGCTTCAGGAACTCCTTTGGAGTGGGAGAACATTTTACAGGTTATCTAGGCCAGCCCCTCATTTTTATGAATAAGGGGTAAGTGAGGAATCCTAGAAGTCCTTAAAAGGCTCACAGTTTTATATTAATGTAGTGGCAGTGCGAGAGTAAGAACTTGCAGTCTGACTTCTTCACAATTGTAAACAATTGTATTATATATGCATACTGTGTATTTTGTAGTTATAAGAATGGAAGAAAAACACCAGAATTTAAAATGCAGTCACAATTTGTTTTGTTTTCAGATGACTTGCATGTTTTTGTTTATCAGTATTTTAAAAAATAATCATCTGTGAAAATATGGTTTTGAAAACAGTAAGCATTGTATGTTGAGAGGGAACCTCATAATTTTATGAGAATGTAGATGGTGACTATTTAAACTGGGAGCTCATATAGGTGTTAACATCACCCCTCTTTTGTACAGTCCTTTTAAGTCTCCTGTTAAACATCTTTTATTGTGTGTATGTAAAGGCACACAGATGCTTTTTCCTGTATTCATCTCACCAATTTACTTAAATATTTAGCTTAGCTGTCCTTATTTCTCTTTCATGTTTCTTGGGAAGCAATGTCTCTTCACCTGTTTAATCTGTCCCCCTTTGTTCCAGAAGCCCATATTCTTTCCTCTCCTCCGAAAGACATTGCTTTATCATTAATTCCATCAATCTCTGTGTCTCCAGTTCCTTCATCTCTTCTAACCTATTTTCCTCAGCCTAAAAATATGCTCATTGTTATTCTTTTATACAGGAAGAATGCCTTCACTCTTTGTGTTACTCTATACAATTGTTGTGTTATTCTTTATTAATGTTTTTTGCCTCCACGTATGTTAGCCTCACATCTTTCTGTGTTGATGACCTCCATATCTGTCTCAGTGTTTACCTCTTTGTCATAGATATCATCACCTAGAACCCCGTATGGATACCTGACTCACCCTATCTCAACCTGAACCCATTAGCTTTCTTGTGAAACTGTTGTTTGTTACCTGCAGCATGCAATAAGTGGAAAAGTCCTATTGATTTTTGCTGCTGTTTGAATGTGTTTTTCTGTAGTCCCGAAGACACTACCTCCATCAGAACATCATCACATCTCACCTGCATGTCTGTAATTCCTGCCTCCTATCTTACCTCCAACTCATTTTCTACATTTCCTCCAAAATGGTCTATGTAAAACCACAGATCTGTCAACAGTTTTCTTAGCTTCTACATGATTTCCTGTAGTCCAGGATGAACGCCAGAGGTCTGCTGGTCTGAAATACAGTGGTTCCTGTGATGTCTTTCATCCTTGTCATCCATCATTTCCTCATTGCTGATTCCTGAATGTGTCACACCTGATCAGCCACTCTGGCCTTTGCATGTACTGTTTCTCCTTTGGATGCTTTCTTCTTCCCCTTAGCCTTGTAAACACGTATTGGTTCTTCTGAGCACAGCTCATGTCATTTCCTTAAAGGTCTTTTTTTTTTGTCCATGTAAAGCACCTCTTGAGTGTCCACTTAAAGGCCTTTTAATCTTCACTTTCATTTCCTCCTGTGTTCAGTCTGCATGCATCTGTGCTTACTGCCCTGTCTAGCAGTGATTGGCTGATACATGTTCATTTTTTTCTTTTTGCCTCTAATTGTAATCTCAAGAGCAAGAGCTACGTCTCATTCACATTTGATTCCTCAATACTAATTTCGTTTCCTGGCTCTTAGTAGGTGCTCAATAAATGTTTGTTAAATTTAATTGAATCAAATAATAACACAGTAGTACTTTAGATAATAGATGGCAGTAATCACTGAACTTTAATGAATTTGTACCATCTCTCCTTATCAAGTTGTGACCTCATTTTAGGAAAATCTTGGGGAATAGAGATGAATATTGTAGAAGAAACAAAAGTAATATTTGCATTCAAGCAGATTTTAATATTTTGTGAGATAGCAAATAAGTGTCGTACTACTATCTTGAACATTTTTCTTTTCATTTTTCTTTTATAATGTAAGCAAATAGGCTTTAGGTCTTAGCTTTTCACTATGTCATTGGAGTAGAGTGGCAATACAAATAATGCTAAAAATCAAATAATATTGTTATGTGTCTTAAAATGATTTTAGAATACATTTCTTTAGTTATTTATTTTTGAAATTAGCATGGTATAATAGAATCCCAGGATCCTTAAATGTTACCTTCTTTAACTAATATATATTACTTGACTATTTAGACTTATACTTAATAGGTATTTACATCTTTGAACACAGAACAGCTGATGGAGAAAGAAGCATTATAAATAATACACGTAAATTCAATTTGTACAGATAATCTGTAATTTTTAATGTTTAAATTATCTAAATGCTATATGTAATATCTTTCATTAGTTTTTTTAAAGTAATTATCCTTTCATGTTGTTTTTTTCCCACCAAATGAAACAATAAAAGGATCAGAGATCAAGAAGTCCCAGAGGATGTACAAGTCAGGCCAGAGGATATTCCTTCAAATTTCAGCGTTAGTAATTCCAGTGTCAAACTGGAAAACACGATGGAAGACCATGCTGCTGAGGCATCCGGGAAGCCTCCAGGTGAAATTAGTGTTCCAGTGGACAGCTCTTTACTTTGTACTTTGTCCTCAGAATCTCACCAGGAAACAGCTAGTAATGAGAATAAAAAACCTGGTAACTACAAATCTACGTTACGACCAGAGGTTGGCACCAGTTCACAAGATTCAGCTTTCTTAGATCAGGAATTGTATAACTCCTTCCATTTCTGGAGGACTCCTCTTCCTGAAATAGATCTAGATATAGAGCTTGAACAGAACTCTGGGGGAAAATCCAGCCCAGAGGGACCAGAGGAAGCAGCTGAAGGCCCTGTGCTCGGTTCCCCAAACATCACCATGGCCACCAGAAAGGAACTGGAAGAAATGATAGAAAATCTAGAGCCCCACATTGATGATCCAGATGTTAAAGGTATGGAAGAATCAGTCAAATTCTTTATTCTAAAATTGATTAAAAGTATAGTGTCTGATTTTAAAATTTCATTTCAGAAAAAAGTTGCCATTTAATAATGTATTATGAACTGGGCATAGTGGCTCACACCTGTATAATACCAGCATTTTGAGAGGTTGAGGCAGTAGGATCACTTGAGACCAGGAGTTCAAGACCAGAATGGGCAACATAATAAGACCTCATCTCTACAAAAAAATTAAAAATTAGCCAGGCATGGTGGCACATGCCTGTAGTCCCAGCAACTTGGGAAACTGAGGTGGGAGATCATTTGAGCTTAAAAGGTTGGGGCTGCACTGAGCTGTGATTGTGCAGCCTCGACCTCGTAAGCTCAAATGTTGTCAAAGGATCATCAGCAGATTGCTCTGATAGTTTTCCAACCTGAGCAACAGTGAGACCATGTCTTTCTTCATTCAAAAAAAGAAAAAGGTAGTGTGACCATCATTATCATGTATTTCTAAATTCTCTCAATACACAATCTGATCTTCAGGAAATTTTTCATTTAAAATAGGCTCATCATTGCATTCCTTA